CAGCCTGACCAGCTAATACCAGGCTGGAAATGGCTGGTAACCAGCCTGGAAGTGGCCAAAACCCCTCTAAAACCAGCCTGGTTGACCAGGTAAAACCAGAATTTTCGATGTAGACATTCATGAAACACAATAGCTTGGACTCTGTGTCGCATACAAGAGTTGAATAAATGAAAACTCCAAGAGGTTTGTACGGCACACTTGGAGCTCAAGTCCCAGCCTAAGGTAGACCTGTGCAATAATCATGCTAATTAGCATCTTGATATTCCACACCTGTGAGGTGGATAGACTACCTCAGCAAAGACAAAGTTCTCACTAAGGATGCTTTCACATTTGGTTTCTATTGCTTGGACTGAAACCGAATTCAATTTTCCACCTCAGCTGGTTTGTGTTACACTGTCTTTTTTTCCTTCTGAACCCCGGTACGCTTGCGTCATCAAGCTGCTGTTTTGTGTACAACTGTTGTAAGGTGATGGCCATGAAAGCAAAGCGCCAAAATGGAGATGTAAAACCAAAATGCAGAGTGCCTCTTATATCTATCTGCCACAAAAACATGTATAAATGTTCAGAGCATAGGGCGATGTCTGCAGAAGTCGTTTTTGGTGGAGACAAGCAGACATTATCAATGTTTGCACTGGGTCAGTCCCGCTTGTCACCACAGTAGGTGATTCACAGACACACACACAAATGAACGTTATGAAAACTAAAGTTTGTTGTGCAGTTGGCGGTTCTCTTCTGTTATTTGGTACGATTGCATTCATATCAGAAGTTAACCCTACCCCAGACCACGTCTTTCAAGCAGACTCGGGTAAAGCTCACAGGTGCGCATTAGAGTTCAGAAGACACAATCACACAAGCAAACAAATCTGGGCGCGGACCAAAAGTGCTAGTGTGAAAACACCCTAACACAAAATTAGACAAATATTGAATGAACAATATTTCTGAAAAATAGTATAAAGTTTTATATTTCTTAAAATTCACCTCATAAAAAAAGAGAACATAAACATTAGTGTCCCATTTAAGTGTAGAATGGAAATGCATTAACTATTTTATAATGAGCATTTTTGTGAATGAAATGCATTTTAAAAGCATGTGACCTTGCCCTTTTTTAGTTTTTTTCCCTTTTTATTCAATAAATCAATGTTACTGGTCACCCTTTATGTCTGTCTGCCTCTTTTACCAATATATATAAAATAAACTTAGGTGGCGACGCAGTGGAGCAGTAGGTAGTGCTGTCGTCTCACAGCAAGAAGGTCAGTCGGTTGCTGGTTCGAGCCTCGGCTGGGTCAGTTGGCGTTTCCGTGTGGAGTTTGCATGTTCTCCCCGTGTTGGAAGGGCATCCGCTGTGTAAAAACGTGCTGGATAAGTTGGCGGTTCATTCCGCTGTGGCGACCCAGGATTGATAAAGTGACTAAGCCGAAAAAGAAAAAAACTGCATAAACTTAGGTCAGGGTGACGTGGTTGCACAGTAGGTAGTGCTGTCGCCTCACAGTAAGAAAGTTGCTAGTTCGAACCTCGGCTGGGTCAGTTGGCGTATCTGTGTGGAGTTTGCATGTTCTCCCTGCGTTTGCGTATTTCCCCTACAGTCCAAATACATGTGCTATAGGTAAAATGGGTTGGCTAAATTGTATGTGATGTGAATGAGTATGTATGGATGTTTTCCAGAGATGGGTTGCAGCTGGAAGGGCATCCCTAAAACATGTGCTGGATACGTTGGTGGTTCATTCTGCTGTGGCGACCCCTAATTAATAAAGGGACTAAGCCGAAAATAAAATAAATGAATGATCAGATATTAAGCAGACAGTCTACTAATACTCAAGTGGACCATCAAAATAGTGTTACCTAAAGTAATGCCACTATTTTAATGATATACATGGCAAATTTGCACACATTCGCTGGTCAAAAACCCCTTCATAAGTGAATTTGAGTTTGACACAGAGCAAGAGGCAGTGTTTTTACTATTAAGTAAGTAAGAAGTAGGCAATTCCTTTGGCAAAACCCTGGGTATTCCCTAGCCCTCTACCAAAATAAAAATATAATAATAATAATGCTATAAATTTAAATAAAAATATCTAAGGGTTTTTAGATTCAGCACATGCCTGTCAAAAGAGTTGTGCAAGGCTCTGATGTCCATTATATATATAGTAAGTCAACATCCGGTCGTCAATTATTCCTTCCTTCCTTAATTGAACTGCCTCAAAAGCAATTAATGTTATTAAAATGAAACACAGATCTCCATACTCACAATGGAATCCAAAAAAGAGAAAAGAAACTTATTCACTAGCATATTTACAGTCAATGTCATCTATTAAATGAGCAAATACTATTACACTATAAATGGTGGGTTGTTTAATTAAGATGTCTTCATAATGCAGAGCTAAAATGACTTACTTCTGACACAATAGATGAGATGAATTCAGACTTGTCGTATGTCCAGCCATCGGCACAACCCTCTGTTTGCAGTTCCGTCGCATTTCCATGACTCAGTTTGTCTGTGATTAAATGCCACTGAGTATCTTTGTACCGGGAGCATTTGGACAGCGTTAAGGAGGAATCCAGCGGGATAAATGCACGCAGGAGGGTTGTTGTGCTGTCATTCATTGCAGTCGTTACATTGGGTATGCGACAATGATGCTCCGGCACGCCAGCAGTGAAGTTATTCAGTAAATTCTGGCTAGCCATTAGAAGACCTGGGATGGAGAGCAGAGTGACGTGAATCATCTGAAAGCGTCCAAACCCGCCGACTTCATCCAAAAGATCCGCAAAGCCCATTCTGACCCGAGATTCCCTGTATATTTGTAAGAGTTATCCCTTGCAGAGGAACACAGCTCAGGACGACTGAACTCTCGACTTTACAAACACGCACAATGAATGATCAATTTTGGGGTTAAAGTTTGCCAAAAAAAACTTCTGATTTCTGATCGCTATCATTATTCCAAACAAAACTGTACAAACAGTTGAAGGGACCAGAAAGTCACCCCCTCCATGACACACACACAGAGCACAATAATGAAATTTTAATCTGATTAAAATGCCCCGCACTGGAATTTTCATAAAGAGCTTGTGCAGGACGAATGACCTTGTAGAAACCCATTGACAAATTAAGCCAACGACTATATGAATAAGACAATGTTATGTGCGCTTTAATAATATTTGGCAACCTTATTTAATAGTGTTTGAAGTAGCAACTTGTTTCATTGAAGCCAAAAAAACTTTTTCTGACTAAATGTGTGACTTTTGCAACCCAGTTACCTATTTTCAACCATTCTAAGTGTTCTTTGTTTTTTTCCTCTGCAAGCATAAAATCTTAACCTTTCCATGGCTTTGCAAAGCAGTGGAAAACTTGACAAAAGTTTTGAGACATTTGCTTTTACATGCACATAAACCTTAATGCCATCCCAATCTTAATCTATAGGGATTAATATGGTTGTGGCCACCATTTTATTTCTCTAACTGGTTAAACTCATTTGGGAAATTTCCACAAGATTTACTAGTGTGTTTATGGGAACTTTTGATGCTCTTCTAGAAAGATGTTCAGTTGCATTGAGGTCAGGACTTTGTGCAGACCAGTCCAGTTCCTCCATACCAAACTTACTCATCTGTCTTTATAGAGTTTGCTTTATTCACCAGTGTGCAGTCATGCTGGACCTGAAGCCCCCATCTCTATTCTGTTCCCATAAAGTTGGACTCATGAAATTCCAAAGTCCAAAACGTGCTGGAAGTATAGAGAGTTTTGTCCACTAGAGTCTAAGCTGTCTAAGCTACTACACTATTTAGTAATGTGTTTATGGGGATTTTGATGCTCTTCTAGAAAGATGTTCAGTTGGGTTGAGGTCAGGACTCTGTGCAGGCCAGTCCAGTTTCTCCACACCAGTCTCAATCATCTGTGTTTTTAAGGAGTGTGCTTTGTGCACCGGTATGCAGTCATGGCGAAACTGAAATCCTCATCTCCACTGTTCCCAGAAAGTTTGGAGCATGAAATTCCAAAGTTTAAAATGTCCTGGACGCATTAAAGGTTTTGTCTACAAGAGTGTAAGCTAGAGTCTAAGCTACTACACTATTTAGTAGTGTGTTTATGGGAATTTTCGATTTTCTTCTAAAACTTCTAGATAGGTGTTTAGTTGGGTTGAGGTCAGGACTTTGTGCAGGCCAGTCCTGTTCCTCCACCCCAAACTCACTCATTCATGTTTTCATGGAGCTTGCTTTGCGCACCGTTGTGCAGTCATGCAGCACCTAACATCCCCATCTCCAGACTGTTCCCACAAAGTTGGGAGCATGGAATAGCAATGCCAAAAATGTCCTGAAAGCATTAAGGGTTTTGTCCACCAGAATTTAAGATACTAGAAGATTTAGTAGTGTGTGTATGGGAATTTCCGATGCTCTTCTAGAAAGATGTTCAGTTGGGTTGAGGTCAGGACTTTGTGCAGGCCAGTCCTGTTCCTCTACACCAAACCCACTCATCCATGTCTTTGTGGAGTTTACTTTGTGCACTGGTGTGCAGTCATGCAGGAACTGAAATCCCCATCTCCAGACTGTTACCAGAAAGTTGGAAGCATGAAAATCCAAAGTCCAAAATGTCCTGGACGCATTAAGGGTTTTGTCCACTAGAGTCCAAGCTACTAGGAGATTTAGTAGTGTGTTTATGTGAATTTTAGATGTTCTTCTAGAATGATGTTCAGTTGGGTTGAGGTCAGGACTTTGTGCAGGCCACTATAATTCCACCATCCGAAACTCACTCACCCATGTCTTTATGAAGTTGAGTTTGTGCACCGGTGTCCATTGTCCAAAATGTCCTGAAATCATCAAGGGTTTTGTCCACTAGTGTCTAAGCTATAGTCCAAGCTACTACAAGATGTACTAGTGTGTTTATGGGAATTTTTGATGCTCTTCTAGTAAGATATTTAGTTGCATTGAGGTCAGGACTCTGTGCAGTCCAGTCCAGTTCCTTCACACCAAACTCACTCATCCATGTCTTTGTAGAGTTTGCTTTGTGCACCGATGTGCAGTCATGCTGGAACTGAAATTCCCATCTCCAAACTGTTCCCACAACGATGGGAGCATTAAATTCCAAAGTCCAAAATGTCCTGGAAGCATTAAGGGTTTTGTTCACGAGAGTCTAAGCCTGACCCCTGAAAAACAAGCCCATACCATAATTCCCCCTCCACCAAATTGTACACTAAACCCAACCCTCACAGGAAACATTTTGTTTTACATTTTGATAATAATTAAATCTGGGTTGTTTATGAGCCGTTTTCCTCAAGGGGACCGGAAAAAAAGAAAATGTCCCCATAAGGTCAGTTTGGACATTTGGTCCCCACAATATAAGGGATGATCTGGAGCACTCAACCACCATACAAGGTGCGGTGAGAAAATCTGAAAATAGACAACTCCGGCAACACTTGTAAAGGAGGAAAAAAAGGATAAATTTGAATGAAATAAAATAAATAGCAACGTGTTTCGGCTTCAAATGCTTCCCCACAATGTAAGAAATACAAGATACACACAAACACAAATGCAACAAAAAAAAAATACACTATGAAATACAGGATAATCTATATGTTCAAATGAATAGAATAAAACAGTTAACACATTAAACAGTCACATGTTTACTGCTGTACATCAGCTCTGTATTCAAAAATTTAACGAAATTAATAAATAAACCGAGCCGCATGAGGAAGTCCACTTAAATCCCCCGCATTCACATTCTGAACAGCAGCACTGTGGTTCTAATCTTGCCTGTCAAAAGGCTTATGAACACTTGTAGAACAGTTAAGTTCTGAAATATATGTAAGAGGCTTATATAAAGATGCACAAGTGTTATTAACTAAAGCACAGGAAATTCCTTCATCATTCTTGAAGGCTCAGACGGACCGTATTTTACAAAACATTAAATAAAATTACAGCTCAATCTCCTGTTTAATGTTGCAATAAAACCTGTTTTGTTGAACTAAATTATTAAATGTACATGTATTTCATTAGGCGACGCAGTGGCGCACTAGATAGTGCTGTCGCCTCACTGCAAGAAGGTCGCTGGTTCGAGCCTTAGCTGGGTCAGTTGGCGTTTCTGTGTGGAGTTTGCATGTTCTCCTCCGGGTGCTCCGGTTTCCTCCACAGTCCAAAGACATGCAGTACAGGTGAATTGGGTAGGCTAAATTGTCCATTGGGTATGAGTGTGTATGGATGTTTCCCAAAAATGGGTTGCGGCTGGAAGGGCATCTGCTGTGTTAAAAAACGTGCTGGATAAGTTGGCGGTTCATTCCGCTGTGGTGACCCCGGATAAGGGACTAAGCCGTAAAGAAAATGTATGAATGAATGTACTTCATTACCAATTTAATTAATGGCATTCGCATAAAATGTAAGGTTTATACAGACAAAGTAGTCAGAAGTATGCATTAAACATATTTAAACTGATAGTAAACATTTTACTAAATTAATTAATGTTCTTTTAAATGCAATTTAAAAAAAAAATAAATAAAAGTCTTATACATTGTTTAAAGTGAATATGTGCTTTAAATTTGTAAGTTCAATCAAATTAAAAGACATTTCAACTTGTATTACAATAATGTAAATGTATAAAAACTACTTTCTTATATCTGTTACCTCTAATAATATAGTAATTGATGTATTTATTTGATCTTAACTAACATTTTAAAGTATCCAACACTCATTTATCAATAAATAAATAAAACTATTTGTATTGAGTAACTTTTACCAACAGCTGTGTTTATTAACATTTATGAACGCACTGTGGACTAACATGAGCAGAATCTTTAAGACTTTAAAAATGTGATGTTCATTACAACTTCTTGTTTAAAAATAAATAAACAATAACATAACCTTAACAAACGAGACCGTATTACTAATATATTGGCATCTGCTGGTTTAGTAACTACTATGCATTCATACCCTAGCTTTGGTAAAACTGGTTGTGTAATCAAATGTGTGGCATAATAGAGATGATGCGTGGACATAGATATAGCACGTCCCGAAATAAACTGCAGTTCACTGTCTGGGCAAGATGAGGACACAAATCTAACAGATAAATGCAGGTCATGACCAGAAGATGCTACACAGGCACATCATAGGCCCACGGCAGATACTGCGGATAGATGATTACGATTATTATTTATTGCCCTGAAAAAAACATTTAAAAAAAATGTAAATATTTCATGGCTTTTTATTCTATATTCTTCATCTATATTAAAGGGCACCTATACGCTTATTTCACGCGGCCGCCATTTTAAAGAACCAAAGCGAGGCTGCGGTGGGAAGAAACCCGGAAGTATAGGACGAGCACTGTAAACATTGCAGTAACATGCTGTGTACTACAAACCTCCAGCTGCTGCCGAGATTTCAAAATGCAGAAATGGTGTAAACATCACTTTAATATTATTCAGTAAGTTTATTTTAAACAATTAAGAGCAATTTAGCATTAAACAAGATCACAATCTCAGTGATTCGCTTAAGTGTCCTCCTAGGCATCAGCTCATGGCACTAGTTAAACACCGTGAGGACGCTTTACTGCTTCAGTCTATGTAACCCGGTGGGTGATAAACATTGCAGTCCTCTGTAGCACACCCTCGTGTTGTCTGTAATAGTGTTGTCCTGGTACTGAAGTTTTAAACCCGGCTATTTCCCGCTAACATGGAAGCGCTCCTGAGCGCGGATGACTCGACTGATCTTCACGGCTTCAGTCTCCATGTATACATGATACATGATACATGATACATGTATATGTATATATATATACAGATACATGACTGGAGTGCGAAGCAGCCGTCAAGATCAGTCGAGTCATCAAGCAGATCGCTTGTCTCGTCTGTGTTTGTGCTCAGTAAACAGCGGTGGGTGAACTGATGACCTTCTCGGCCAATCGCAAGCATTTCTGTTGACCACGTGAACACAATGGCAAATCAGCGCTGTTTCAAGAAAGCCATCAACAGTGCCTTAAATGTTAGCGCGAAATTGGCGGTCTTTCTTTTAATTCAGTATCTTGACAAGTCTAATATAGTGAAAGAATCAGTTTATTAACTCGAGTTTGATAAATCCCTGCTGAAAAATCCAGCTTAAACCAGCCTAGGCTGGTTAGCTGGTTTTAGCTGGTCGACCAGGCTGGTTTTAGAGGGGTTTTGGCCATTTCCAGGCTGGTTTCCAGCCATTTCCAGCCTGGTCTTAGCTGGTGAGGCTGGAAAATGACCAGCTAAATCCAGCTAAAACCAGCTAAAACAAGCTTGACCAGCCTGGTTTAAGCTGGATATAGCTGGTTTTGGCTGGGCTCCCAGCCTGGCTAGGCTGGTCAAGCTGGTTTTAGCTGGTCATCTC